GGGTTGCGCGTTCTGCTAACCAGTCGTCGGTTGTTAATGCAACACCAAGAGGAAACGCGCCGACATAAATCGCATCTCCTGCCTCATTAACTCTCCCGGCCACGGCGGTTCAATGTTGAGCCGATAAAACTGTTATTCGTATTCTCGAACCCGTGGCTCCGTTAGAAAAACGTTTGTTTCGCGAAACGGCGGTCGCGAGATTGCAGTATTTACCAATGTGTGGATTATTAATGTCGCTAATCGACCGATGAACGTAAAGGAAAAACCGATGGGGCTAACGATCCGTTAAACGTTTGTTTGTTTGGCCGCAGGTAAAACCAGTTCCGGATCCGACTGCGAGAGCGAGCCCGGTATACCTCTGAAGAGAAAGCAGAGAAGGAGCAGGACTACCTTCACTGCCCACCAATTAGACGAGCTGGAGAGGGCCTTCGAGAGGACTCAGTACCCGGATATCTACACTAGGGAGGAACTGGCTCAGAGGACCAAGCTGACGGAGGCTAGGATCCAAGTGTGGTTCAGCAACCGGAGGGCTAGACTCAGGAAGCAGTTGTCCTCGAGCACTTCTGGCGGCTACGTCAGTTCCGTGGCGTATCCTGCCGCCTCGTACGTCCTGCATCCTCCTGCCGCGCCTCACCCGCACACCGCTGCCACCGTGCCACCGAGTCATCCCCATGCTCATCCCCATGGACAGACTCTGCCCGACACCGCGTTCTCGTCGAGTCAAGGTAGGTCTACTCGTCGTCATGATTTCCCCGGCGATCTGCCAGCGATGTTGCTCGAACGGGTCGACGAATGATTTGGTGTTGTTATCAGTTCCAGAACTGTACTCCTCGCACCATGGCAGCATGTCTCATCAGCTGGCAGCCGAGTCGTCTCGTTTGCCGTCGTCCGTTGGATCGGCGTCCAGCTACGGGCTGCCGCCATCCGTCTCGTACCCCAGTTCCTTGCTGCCAGCGACGTCGTCGACCAGCGGCAGTCACATGGCCCACCAACCATCCTCCGTTACGCCGGCATCGGCCTCCGGTTATCAGCAACCCAGCAGCCATCAACTGCCGCCCACCCCGAATTCGTTGGTCACGATGATGGGCCCGAATTCGGGCAACTCGAACCCGTCGTCGGACCACTTGACCTCGTCGGACCTCCCCATCAGCTCCGTGTCTCCCGTGCACCAGCAGCAGCAGCAACAACCCAGCCAGGAGAACAACGCCTCCCCTTCCTGGAACCTCCCGATATCCACCGCCGGAAGAGTCGGACTGCCGAGTCCACCGACCAGCCTGCAACAACCTCACGCGCACACCGCTCACCCTCATCAGGCGTTTGCCAGCCATTACGGTACGCAAGGGTTCCAACAACCACCCAGACCGACGCCTCATCAACCGTTTTATAGCTGGTACTGAGAGCCGGCGGAAGTTTGTCGACCACCGGACTCGGATGAAACCGATGTCCGATGTAAAATTGCCAACTGGCTTGGCGATCGCCGGTCGTTCGTTGCTTGGACGCGAATGCAGCATTTCCGACTGATCGTTCGACCCTCTTCTGCTAGGACTACTATAGGTGAACGTTGTATCGTCTTGTAACGGTCTCGCGTAACGTAACGTATCGTCTCTGTGACGTATTGTATTTATTTATCGACAACTCGGGTCACCGTGATCGTCGAGTCTACCGATCGAGGGTTAATGCATTGACTTTCAGATTATTTGCCACAGTACTTATCTTGAAATTATCGTTGAAGCTCGTCAACCTTGATCAATAACAGTCAGTGTGTTAAACGATGAAACGAGCGAGTCGTCCGATTCGTCGACGACTCGGTGTTTTCGAGGGAATTGTGCATCCGCGGTAGATCAAATCCTTATAGGTAAAATACTATAAAATACTCGGTCGAATCGTTAATTGGGGGGATCAAAGAAAGCAACGCGAAAGATGTTACATTGTATCGGAAAAAGCGTCAACGGAAGTGTCCTTAAGTAGTAAATTATTCCTTCGCGTAGACAGTAGGTAGACGTAAGATTAGGTATTTACAATTAGACTTCGCGAGAGGAAACAACATCTAAGACTTGAATCTCTTAAGATCCAGCAAGGATACAAACTGAAAAACTTCAGCAAATCGTGCCAGTAAATTCAGTATGTATTTGTTTAATTATTAGGACTTTAATATAGTACGACTCTGTAATATATTAGCTAGAATAATCTCTCTTTTCTTAATCTTTACCGTTTCGAGGACAAACCGGTCCAGTGATTGTATTTATATAGATTTCTTTCGCCCAAAACCGGTGAAAGATATCAATGATTAATGACAGTTTGCTGGCGACTGTCTGCGAGGAAGTACGCGTATTTCCTTCTTTGTAATAATATCCTAAATTGTTTAACTTTAAGCATCTCAAACCAATACTACAGATATTTCAGTAGACGATGTAAATATTTCTACACTTCCTTTATTCTTGGTTTTCGGGTATTTCTCTTTAAGCTCTCATTATTTCCCTTTGTGCGTGTGCGTGTGCGTGTGTGTGTGTGTGTATGTGTGTGCGAGTGTGTATACATTCTGACCAAAAATGTATTTAATATGTAAATAATAGGTATTCGCTAGGTTTGCTACTTTTAGTAGGAACAATAATGTACTCAACTTCTGTTGAGTAGTTTCTTGTGGAGCAAGTACCTAAAATCATTCAAGTACGATCAGAATTAATGACTATATAAGTAATAATTGTACGTGAGTAGCAAAAGATACTTATCTGCTCGACTGTAAATTTTTTTTATCGATCTTTGGACACTACAAATGTAAATTATAATTGAACGCATAAACGTCGTAACGGAATATTAAATAGTAAATACACGTTGTATTTTATTGACAATGATAATTAAATAAAGAACTTTTAACAAGCATTAATCTCGTCTTTAATTTGATATACCATCAAAATCATTAGCCAAAAGTTAGCGGGGAATTGAATAACACTATTAGCACAGATGCAACAACGCACATAATATTCAACATGACATAATATATCGATACATTCTTATTAGTATAAATTTACGTAAATTAATTAAAAGACATCCACTGGTGCT